TCGGCACTGGTTATTTTGTGCAGAGTGCGCCTCTGCCTCCTGGTTCGGCAGTCGTTCTGGCCGACATCAATCAGAACCCCCTGGCCGAGGCTGAACACCGCATTCAACTGGCACATCCCAACGTCATCGTGAACACAGCTCAAGCTGACGTGTTCGTGCTCGGCGATCGCCACACCTCACTACCTCCATCTCTGCATATGGGTAGCAACGGACAGTTCGACGTCATTTCTTGTATGCTATTGTTGCACTGTCTCCCTGGGAGTGCCAAGCGAAAAGGAGAGGCTATAGCAGGTCTAGATCGGCTCTTGAAACCAGATGGTGTTCTGGTTGGTGCAACAGTGTTAGGCGGTGGAGTGAAGCACAATGGTTTTGGAAGGTTCCTCATGTTCTGGCACAACCTTTTGGGTGTTTTCCACAACAAAGACGATTATGCAGCTGACATCATTGAGCCACTCAAGTCCGATTTTAAGTATGTAGACTGGCAGATAGTTGGGACAACACTTCTTTTTGAAGCAAAGGCGCCTAGGGCTAGAACTAGATAGCTGGCTGAGGATTGGTAGAAGCAATTTGGATAGGATTACAGGCCAAATGTTCAGGTATTAGACTTCTCTTAATCGAAATTTCAATCCGTGATTTCCTGCCTCATTCTACAAAGGAGAGTTACATGGCCGAGATCTTTGCTGAGCCAGCGAAGGATATATCAGATATCGGTTGGGTGTGGCTGACATGGGCTCCCAAGGACATCATTTCCGTGCTTTTGCCTGCACCGCAGACTGCAATGAACGGAGGACCGCAAGCGTGCCTAATAGAAGAGGTGGAAGCAAAAGAACTTCAGTCATTCCGGTCGCAAGCGCAGGATCATATCGTAGCGGAGGAGGAAAAGGACTTTGACATTGCTGAAGATATAAGTTCGCATGACCAAACTAGCGCTTATATACCCACTTTGAATGCTCCGTCAGTTATCGCTCCACCGTTCTTCCCACCTCTGAATGAGATTCTGTCAACCTTCGACGCTTCACTTCGATCGCCGGACTCTTGCTCCGTCTTGTCCGACGCTTTACGGATACTCCGGTCTTCGCGCAAGATGTTCTTTCTGAGCCTTTGTCTTATTGAAGCCCGAATTCCATGCGTAAATATGAGCGTCAAGTCCGTTCCTTTATTCGATGTGTAGCTCTACAGCTGTTCTTGACAGGCAACATTTGATAGGAATTTTGATTCGCTTTCTAGGCAAGGTTGCAATATAGGGGTTACAGGGAACGTCGAAGGATGTGAAGCCTGAAAAAGTCAAACCTCGAATATCCTTTCGAGCTTCACCTTGAGATTCATCCAATCCAACCAGCGATTTTGATTTCTCGTGCTCAACTCAACCACACTGCTTTATCCCCAGCACTCCTCATGACCAAAAGTCACACCTCGAGGAAATCGAAATCAATCACTGCTGTCTCCACGACGCGACACCCAAACCAGCGAACACCGGCGCCAACGCAAAGTGAACCCACCAATCCGCCTTAGGTGCCTGTCTCCGCTGCACAATGCCATCGATAGTGACCACCGGGACCCCAAGCAAGCACATCGCAGCTAAGGTCTTGTGGTTGCCGAAGTATGCTGCCGCAAACAGGCTTGCTCCAATGAAGAACTCGCGTATGGCGAACAGGCGTAGCTCGTCCAAGATCAGACTCCTGTTTTTCGACTTTGGATCCTTGAAATCCTCGGAGGACGCAATGTCGAAGTGCCACATTTTGATACCGAGTTCTGGATTTAACGTGACGATGGAGCCCATCATGGTTGCGGCCAGCCCAATAGTGGCCACAATATTGGAAGACGTGATGAAAGTTGACATATTTGGCGTTATCGAGCGCGTATGGATTGATTATGGACTGATTCAAGTGTCTAAGGATCTAATGACTGGCCAGACGAGCCGAGATTTATAGAGCAAGCTTGACTTCAGCGTTTACGATTTAGCCTTAACCCGGACCTGAATCCGGTCTAATCCGGCCTCACGTAATCATTCTTCAAGGATTGGTAGTGAGGATCCAAATTGTCGGGGGAACAATCTCGCCGATGTGCTGCAAATGGCAGAAAAGTCACCGCGACGAAGGGAGAATGATTTGCCAATCCCTAAAAACATTAACAATTATGATAAAAATAACGAGAAGTAAAATTAGAGCAAGAACAGCGCGACACCATACACTTGCGTAGCGGTGCACTTATTGTATTATATTGTAATACAGTCAATATCCCCGATTGAAAAACCATCTGTAATGATAAATACGACTTGATGCAAGAATTAAAAAAGAAAGATTCAAGATGCCAAAGTATCTGTACTGAATAGTGAAGATATTTATTTGAAGTACATACCTATATCTAAGGAAATCTACTCAGTGCGGTTTTACGTTGTCGTATTGACTAGTAACAAAGTGAAGGAACAAGTAAAGAAATCAGATAGTGCATATAAGAGCCATATTGCTTTCTAGCTTCTCTGAGGGATCCTAATTTTAATACAAAGAGGATTGTGCATATGAACAGTCATGACGGCGTAAGTGTCGTTTACAACTTCCATGGCCCTTTCCCTAGCGTTTTCGAGGCCTTCTCCATGATTAGGTACGACTTCAAGTCCGTGCTGATGCAGAAGAGTCGCAAGTGCTGCAACAAAGCCAACCTGGGAGAATCTTTTGCCCGGGCAAGCGCGTTTCCCCTCGCTCCACGGGAGAAAGGCGCCATCAGGAGGTGCTTTGAGTTGTTCGCCGTCCAGACCCTTCATACGATCGCTTGTCATGATCCACCGATCAGGTTTCCAGTACATTGCATCGGGTCCCCATATGGGTTGGTGTACCTGAATGCTAGGCATGTTGACAAAGACGTTGGTGTTTGCTGGGATGCGATGATACTCGCTACCAACAATCAAAGTCGTTGCTTTCGACCCGGTGCACTTGGGAAGGACTGTGACCGATGGGTACAATCGGAGCGTCTCGTTCTATAATTGTGTCAGACCGTATGTTGGAAATTGCTTCGGAGATGAATTCGTGCTTACCATGGCGGCTTGGCATCGTTTTAGGCGAGGGAAAATCTCCATGAAGGCATCTGCTGACTTCCAATCTGGCCTGCCACCCAGAACCTGGTCGATCTCTTCCATAAGCCAAGCTTGTTGCTCTGGAAGGGCTGCAAGGAGATAGATTGCAAAGGTCAGCGTATGTGCAGAAGACTCATGTCCTCCAAGTGAGTAGGTAAAGAGATTCCCTCGAATCTCGGACTCTTTCAGTAAGGCATGAGACCCATCATCCTTGGATCCACCTAGGCGAGTTTCGACTTCCAAATCTCTGTTTCTCTTCACCATAAAGCTAAGTAAGTTGTCATTCTGCGTCTTTTTCTTGCTGCCTCTGATATTGTCTTTGCAGTCATTGATCATTTCATCGAGATACTGCCTCATTTCGGCTACGGCATCTCGAAAATTCTTGATCCTCTGTGGCAGGGCAGGAAATCTCATAGCCCAACATGGCACTAGCCGAAGGATGAGAATATCCTTGAGACTGGTGTGGAGGCAGTCCTTGTAGCTTCGCTCGTGCCCTTTTGGAATGCAGTCTCTTTCAGGCTGCTTGAAGTCATAGGTAAAGCCGAAACAAACGCTGGTGAAGACATGAAGGTAAAGCTCGCGTACATCTTCAACAGGATCGCAAATCAGGCTCTGTGAAGTGCGATGATAATAGTGAATCATTTGCTGAGTCTGTCGGACGCTTTCTGCCCAGACGAGACGATTAGTTCTGTCACTTAAAGTAGCGACAGTCGCCTTCCGGTGACGAGTCCAATCATCGCCATCTGAGGACACCAGACTCGTGCCCAGTATATCTAGGATTTCTAAGAATGATTAGTTAGCTCAGAATAACAGTACCTGATCCGGCGAAATAGTGGGCACTTGCTGGCGTAATGGCTTATCTTGGGAAAGTCGTTCGCATGCTTCCGGAGCACTTGAATAGCTACCGCAGGATCGCGAGTGTGAATCTCAATCTCTCCCGGTGTGGCGTGAACGAAGGTGTTGCCATGCTTGTCATGAACTTGGCAGTTGCCATGTGTCCGGTCAGCCCACGTCCAATCAAGAGCATTATACGTGGTCCAATCGCCCAGGCCTGGAGGAAGGCGCTGAAGGAGTGGTGCAACTCGTTTGTTAAAGATGATCCAGAATGGGTTGAAGGGACTGATGGGGCTCCAGACAACCGGAAAACCAATAGTCTTGGCAACGATGATGTTTCGAATAAGACACAATATGGTGTAGATAGTATGAAGCCCAATCAGGCAAAGTGCAACGAAACCGTTTGTCGACATCTTCTGCTTTGGCGCTCGGCATAGCCTCAGAACGGGTTTTTTTGGTGCAGGTATTCTTACGATCCTCTTTTTTTACCTGGAGCGAAATTCTTATCAGTGGTAGCGCACTATTCAGATCACGTCGTAAGGTTCGAATCCTCCGGGAAGCGTCTCCGGAGGAGGCCCTTGCTCTGCCTTGGTTCCGTCGCCTGATAGTTCCGCTGCAGTCCGCAGGTATGTTGCATAACACCGGAAGTCAATTATATCAAACTTTGTCTGCCGGCTGACCCATGCTCGCAAGCTCAACTCCATTCCACAATTTCCGATTCTCAGCATGCCATCCTCCTCGAGGAGAAACATCCGTTGAGGTCTAGTCATGTCACTGGTTACACCGCAGATTATACCGCGGACTTGCAACTCACCCCACTCCCCGAGACGTTTGTCGAAGTATGTTTCGGTCTCTTGTTTCGATAAGACGGTAGCACTCGGCATGAACAGGAATTCTACATGCTTTTCGGGGTTTCGAGACCGAATATCTCGGAGAAGAGGCCAAGTTCACCATTCGGTATTGTCCTGGCGATGAGATCAACGGCTACAGAAACCAAGAAGAATCTTTCCTCAGTATTAGTCCTCTAAAGATTGGATTTCGCACACAGATTGCTGAGCTCAATCTCTACCTCTTCAAACTTTTGCGGCTTGCAGCCATGGGCAAACTCAGTCACATTAAGGATGGTTACGTTGTCTCATACGCAGCATGGCTCGTTTGTGGGCTAGTGATTCTCGCCCTCCTGCGAAGCATTGTCAAGTTGATTGTCGAAGAAAGGAGGATTAAGGGCCATGGAGGGCACGCGTCTAGATTCAAATCATACACAGCGTTTGGTTAGTTTCCGAATCCTCCAGCTAATCTTGTTCATGATAACTAACGTTGAAGTAGGCGTGTTGTCTGGCTTGCATTTTCTGTGGTCTATCACCACTCACGCCTTGCAGGATCAAAACCTCAAGTTTATGCACAACGCGTTCCTCCTATCAGGTCAGGGAAAGAAGAACCCATACACGTTTGAGGTCTCCTTGATGGGATCGCGCACAATTTTCACTGCAGATCCCGAAAATATTCGAGCCATGCTCGCAACTCAGTTCAACGAATTTGGAAAGGGCCAGCGCTTCAGGACAGATTGGTTTGAACTCATGGGGAATAGCATTTTCAACATTGACGGTGACGCTTGGCATACCTCGCGCCAACGTCTCCGGTCTCTCTTCACCCGCCAACGAGTCAGTGACCTTGTCTGTCTTGAGCGTCATATCCAGGATATGCTTCCAGCATTAGCTGGTGGCCAAGTTGTGGATATAAAGGACGTCTTGAGCAGATTTGCGCTTGATGTCTCGGCAGACTTTTCCCTCGGGAGACAGGTGGATTCTCTGACAAGCAAAGAACATGACGCCGTCTTTGAGGCATTTGAGCGCATCCGTCACACTCAGTCCTTGATTGAGCGGCTAGGCCCTCTGAACTTGCTTGTTCCGCGCCGGAAATTCCGCAAGGACCTAGAGACCCTGAATAAGTTTATGGGGCCCAGCATTGACAAGGCGATATCAATGTCGGACGCGGAGCTAGCGGAGATGGATAAGACAGACCACGGATGGACACTCCTTCATGCATGCGCTGGTGTCTCTCGAGACGCTCGGTATCTGCGTGATGAAATGGTGTCGATATTGATCGCTGGCCGAGACACCACTGCAACTACGATGTCCTGGGCTTTCTATGAGCTCGCGAAGAATCCTGAAGTGCTTGCCGAGCTTCGACGCGAGATTGTGAACAAGTTGGGCGCTGGCGCTGGAGCTCGTCTGCCAACTTATGACGACCTCAAGAGCATGACCTTTGTTATTCATGTGCTCAATGAGACACTTAGGTTATACCCCAACGCACCTTTCAACATCAGAGCTGCTTCAAAAGACACCAGTCTACCACGCGGAGGTGGACCAGACGGGAATGACCCCGTAGGAGTTCCGTCGGGTACCCAGGTTATCTATTCCACGCATGTCCTTCACTTGCGAGATGATCTTAATTCGTACAAGCATCCACTTCAAGACTTCTATCCTCGTCGATGGGAATATTGGACACCTCATCCATGGACGTATATTCCGTTCAATGGTGGTCCGAGAGTATGCATCGGGCAGCAGCTGGCCCTGACTGAGATGGCGTATGTCTTGGTTCGCGTGTTCCAACAATACAGAAGTGTTGAAGTGAGACAAAACCTAATGTCCAAAGATTCGGAGCCCATGATAACTGTTTGGGAGAGAAGAGGCATGGAAGCCGACCCGGTGGAGAAGTTCGTGAGGTTGAGGCCACGTATGGCAAGTGAAATCACACTTGCGCCTCGGGGGAGTGTAGATCTGGTTTTCGTTGAAGAATGATTTGGCGACCGTATTAGCAAATATGCACCTTGAATAAGTATGAAAAAGAGACTAAAAAGAAAACACACTTTCGGCGATTTCTCCCCTCAGCCGCCTATTGTACTGTCCAAGCAAGTTGCGAGGCGGCACATCGATGTTCATGTCATTTAGAATTCCTACCCTTGACTAAACGCTAGGAGATATTCAGTTTATTGTGGATGGTCAGAGAAGGAACTTTGGATGCTGATACCTGCCATGATGGGTTGCACAGAAGAGTACGTATCTGATGCAGCTAAGGTAAGGTACCTGCCTGAAAATGAATTAAGATAAGGTGAGCAGCCATGGAAGGTACCTGACGGCATGATGCCTTCCCCTTGCAACGACATGGCGAGCCTGGCAAGACTGGAAGCATTTTCTGCACCTCACTTTCCAAGTAAACGGATGCCCTCACTTCCTTCTCATTGTACAAAAACACCTTAGCAGAGAACACCCACCAACGTCCGGAGTCAGATCTTCTGTGACATCTTCATCGCCAATACACTCCACCCGAAACTTCTGTATCTCTGCCTTCTGCGCAGAAAGCAGTCACTCTATCTGATTATTCTTCACAGAATTCATTCCCTACAGCTCCCCGACATTCACCGACTTGCTCTTCCAATCCCATTTCTGATCGGAGTGCCACTTGCCTGCCTGTCCGTTGGAATCTTGCAGTCCATCTACGCAGACGCGAACGAAGAGACATCCAGCATGGCGCCAAGCCGCTACATTGCTGCTTTGGCAGCATTTGCGTCCTTTGTAGCAACCTCACCTGCACCAAGCCACCTAAAGGGTTCACGGCTTTTGTTCACCCCTACCGATTCTGCCCTCCGGCTTGTCAAAACGTCTCCAGCTGATCTCGGATCATGGGTCACCGATGCGGACAAAGATGGGTTGATCGAGAACGGTCTCCGTTTCATCGATATCACTGACATCAAGGTGAGCTTTCTTGAATCCCCTGCATGACTCGGTTTTGTTCGTCCAGCAAATTGATCTGACTGACATCTCCCAAGGACGAGGAAGTTCTCGAAATGATATCTACCCCTGATCACGACTTCAGTCAGTACCTTGACACACTCGACTTGAACACCGACTTGTCCCAGCGGGAAGTAGATTGGATGCAGGATGAACTTGGCGGTCTACTCATGGCCCCTCCCGAGCAACCGACACCGTTCAATGCTGAACGTGCGATGCGCCATCTCACGACAATGACTGAGTTGGAAAGACTGCCCTCAATCTTGATTCGAGTCCTAACCAGTATCGTAGGTTTTGGAGCAGAGATCATCGAACGGAAAACGGCACGGAAGCCGCCGAATGGATTCTCGAAAGTATTGAGAGGATTGTAGCATTGGTCAACCCGCATATTGAATCCGCCCCGTTCGCACATAACGCCACCAAGCAGCCTTCAGTCATCGCCAAGCTTCCCGGAGCTACCTCTGACATTGGTAAGCCTGTCTTTCTTCCTCCAGATGGCTCTGCTGACGCGCTGGGCAGTTGTCTTCGGCGCCCACTTTGACTCTATTTCAAGAAAACCTGGTGGCTATGCTCCAGGAGCCGACGATAATGCTTCTGGGACGGTCGTGCTGCTTGAACTTCTACGGACCCTAGCAGAAAAGACGAGTCACAAGGATACTGAGCCTTGGCAGCCCCTTCGCAACACAGTCGAGTTCCACTTCTATACTGCAGAAGAGGTCGGCTTGCTTGGATCTTCAGAAATATTCTACGATTACAAGGCCAAAAACAAGACGGTGGTTGCCATGCTGAACCACGACATGCTGGGATTCTCTTCCACTGACAAGGTGTCTCTGGGTGGCGACAAAATTGACCCACGCCTCACACATGTCCTCCGAACCATTGCGAAGCAGCGCGGCATCCCAACACTGAGCTTTTCTTGCGGTTACGCGTGTTCCGATCATGCAAGCGCTCACAACAACAAGTATCGTGAGTGTCATGTTTCCTCTGTACTTGACTTGAACTGACAATTATTTCGAAGCTGCGGCCTTCATTACTGCCGATCGTGACCCGACGGGCAACGACAGAATTCACACTGATAAAGATGTCAGTTCCACCAAAACTATATGTGGCCACGCCGAAAGTCGAGTGCTAATCTTGAATGCAGACATTGGAGACGATCGAGAAAAAAACGCTTGAACGCCATTTCCGATTCAGTCTCGCAGCTCTTGAGGTTCTCTCGAACGCAAATGTTACCAAGTTGGGCAGACCAAGTGACGATCTAATGTGAGCATGAGGATCTTGTTACGCGGAGGACGTTGCAAAGCACCTGAGTGTTGGTTGACAAGGCATGCCCCACAACCATGAACCATCAATAGAATTACTAGCATGTCTCAATGGAACCCATATTCCTTCATGACTTTCCCCAACTGCCATGGTGAAATTTGCGCACACGTACTCACGCAGACGCCTGTCGAAGCAATTGGGGCCCAATTCGCATCTTCTTCGATGCGCCATTGCCATGTAATACCGAAAGGTCCCCTTGTATGACTCTAGAGTGCTCGGTTTTCTTTAGATTGTCGATGTCAAGAAAGGCCCCGGAGTAGACCTTCTCCGTCACGTCCGGCATTGGGCGTCCCGGCGACACTGTTAGATAGCTCGGCAGTGTCAATAATAGGTGGGTCGACCCGACGCTCAAAGCATGTTACTCAGCATGCCATGCCCCAAGGCGGAGATGTACAAATATGGATAAGACACCAAAAGCCCACTGAGGGGTTCACATTCCAGGCATCATCGACTACGATAGCCAATTTACGAAGGTGACGACATTCCCATCACGGCAAAGCCTGACACCACAAACATGAGCAACCTCAAAGGCAAAGTCATCGCCATCACGGGCGCAGCATCGGGCATTGGCCTGGCGACAGCGAAGCACCTTGCCAACCTCGGCGCGCGAGTATCGATATCAGATGTCGACGAGCCCCTACTCGCCACAGCCGCGGCGGATCTCACCAGCCTTTACGGAGCAGGCAACGTCTACTCGCGAGTGGTGGACGTGAGGGACCGTAAAGCGGTGGAGGCGTGGATCGCGGAAACGGTGGAGAAGCTCGGACCGTTGGACGGGGCGGCCAACGTCGCCGGCGTACTTGGGCGGCAGGGCAACCTGGCGACGGTGACGCAGATTGAGGACGATGAATGGGACTTCGTGATGGGCGTGAATGCGAGGGGAATATTGAATGCCATGAGGGCCGAGATTCCTGCGCTGGCGGAGGAGGGAAAGGGGAAGAGCATCGTTAATGTGTCGAGCGTGGCGGGGCACTATGGGCTGGAGTATCATGGGGCGTATACGGCGAGTAAGCATGCTGTTGTTGGCTTGACCAAGAGTGCGGCGAGGGAGTTTGGGAGGAAGGGATTGAGGATTAATGCTATTTGCCCGTAAGTTGAGATTGTCTGCATTATAGGAAGATTTGGCTAACGAGAAATGCAGCGGTGCGATTGATACGCCCATCCTACGAACGGCGCTGGCGGCCAAGACCACGGAGACCGGGGCGGACGTGTTTGAGCCGCTTCTGGGGAGAGTCGGGCAGCCTGAAGAGGTGGCGACGACGATTGCTTTCTTGTTGGGAGACGAGTCTTCCTATGTTACTGGGCAGGCTTGGTTAGTCGATGGTGGTTCAATTCCTTGATGGAGTACGTATGACCGTACGACAAGACTGGGGGGGGGGGGGGGGGATTCGTCGAATGTGTGAGGTCAGAGGACGAGGAATAGCATAATACAGGGCGAAAGATGAGATCGGATGGATCGTAGTCAGGGTCACTCAGCATGGAGCGTCCAACGTCAGAAGGAACGGTTAATACTACTTGCCTATTGGAAAACTATCTTTGGGTGCTGACTGTGCTGCTGTCTCGGAGTATTTGGAATTCTCAACAGCAATTGGTTCGTTGTCGCAGCGAAGGATGCAAAGGATTTAAGCGTTGCTACCTTTCTTTTTCCGAGAGAGAAGGAGCAGCGGCCGTCCTACCATACTTTACCATACCTTGGTTGGTAGGTGGCAGCTTCAATGTTAGATGCTACGTCGGCAGCCGTGCGTACATGCAGTGAGAATTTTCTGGAACGATGCAACCAGTAGGTGTGATCGTGGGTGAACTTACAACCAGGCACCGAGGCAGACGAGGCAGAATATTCGTAATAATGCTCCGCCACCGGGACCTAGATGGATGTACATTGGGCATATCATTCATGACCTTTGGTATTTAAATCAGCTGACATAGGAACACTCCAGGAAGAGGACGGATGTTTATGAACATTATGAGATGATCTCGTGAATTGTTCCACGGAATGACTAATAGTAAATCTAGCAAGCGAGTGCCAAGTTGGTATCAAAGCAGATGTGAACAAGAGTATTATAGATGATAGCTGCCTTCCCCCTTTTCCAGCCGTCGATATACTCTCCGACGGTCGTCAAGCAAAGTCTTTAAGTGATGGATAGTCGCACAGTTTTATTGTCCAAAGACTTAGACAGTCTTCTCAGGCAATGAGCTGTGGGCGGAGCTGCCGGGGGCACCGTCATGGCTGCTGCTGGGCACAATGTCCGAAACATGGCGGGTGACCTCGACGTAATCGTAGGCGAACTCGCCGAGCTGGCAGTCGTCGAGGCCAAGATCCTCGTCGTCGACGCTGACACGCAGGCTGAGGCCGGGGACCAGGTTCATCAGGAAGAGGATGAGGCAGGTCAGGGTGAAGGACCAGGCGAAACCGGCGACGGAGCCAGCCAGCTGGTAGCCGAGCTGGACGTAGTTGTGCTCGATCCAACCGCCGGCAATCGCGCTTTCGCCGGTGTAGGCGCCATCGAGGGCAGCAATGTAGGAGCTGGGAGATGTTAGAACAATTTCTTGCGGGTAAGGTCGTAGGGACGGTAGCGAGACTTACGCAGCGAAGATACCGGTCAGGATGTTACCGCAGATACCACCGATTCCGTGGACGGCGAAGACATCAAGACCGTCGTCAATGCCAAGGACGAACTTGAGCTTAGTGCCAAAGTTGCAGGCAATGCCACCGACAATACCGAAGATGACGGCAGCCCAGGGGGTAACGAAACCAGCACCGGGGGTGATGGCAACAAGGCCGGCGATGGCGCCAGAGCAGAAGGCAATGGTAGACCACTTCTTCTCCAGGCGGTAGTCAAGGAGCATCCAGGTGACGCCACCGACACCGGCAGCGAGGTTGGTGTTGAAGCAGGCCATAACAGCACGGATGTTGGAGGCGAGAGCGGAACCGCCGTTGAAACCGAACCAACCGACCCAGAGGAAGACAGTTCCGAGAACGACGTGGGTGACGTTGTGAGGGCGGTACGGGAGACCGTGGACGCTGTTGTAACCGGTGCGCTTGCCCAACATCAACGAGTAGGCAAGGGCGGCAGCACCAGAGGAGATGTGAACGGGCGTACCACCGGCAAAGTCGTAGGAGCCGAGGATGAACAGCCAGCCGTTGCCATTCCAAGTCCAGTAGGCGATGGGGTCGTAGACAATGGTGGCCCAGACAAAGGCAAAGACCATGGCGGGGAGAATACGACCGCGGTCAGCAATAGCGCCGAGAGCGAGGGCGGGACTACGTAGAGTGGTCAGATGCTGCCATCGAGGTCACAGACTTCGTGCCAGATTAGAGTAGACTCACGTAATGGCGGCGAACATGCCCTGGTACAGACAAAAGAGAATATCAGGGATCTTGGTGGAGCCGACAGAGGGTTGAGCGACGACCTCTTTGAGACCAAAGTTTGACATGTCGCCGAGGAACACGGAGCCGGTGTGAGAGAAGGTCAAAGTATAACCCCAGAAGAACCATTGGAATCCAACCACGCCCACGCAGATCATCGAGATCAATATCAAGGACAGTGCGGACTTTCGACGGGCAAGACCGGAGTAAAAGAAACCGACACCAGGAATCATAAGCAGCACGAGCGCCGAGCAGACCATGATCCAGGCCAGGTCGCCAGACTACGCAACCATGTTAGACAACATGTATGAGGTAATCGTCGTCGGGCCACGACGAGTATCAAAATGAGCTCACCTCATAGAAGACGTTGAGGTCGGCAACACCGGCAGAGTAGCCGGCGTCAGCCTCGCCCTCGGTGCCATTGTAGGGGATGGTGTAGAGACCGGCAGACATGTTGACGGTTGCGCGCCGGCGCGTGAGCGGTCAATGGGTAGTGATTTCGGTGCGCGGTATCCGGACGGGTCCTCGGGAATCTTCAACGTTTGCCAGCCTCGAGATCGGCGAACAGACGTCGAAGGAAGAGGAATGGGTGAAGAGGGTTACAGGGAAGGGAGAGAACGAAGGAAGGGGGAAGACAACACAACGTTGAAGTCTACGCCGGGGATGGACAGGCTAAATAATCCCAAAAGCAACATTGGGAAAAGCAAGGCCGGGGCATTGCCTTCGGCCCCTCGTCGTGAGTTGGCCGATATTTGAGCCTACGAGTACAGATGGCCAAGTACACTACGGAGCACAATTGCTGCAGTATCTTTGGATGGATCCGAAGGCGGCAGGGATGAGCAGCCCAGACCGATGGCGCGGGTAAGATGAAGGATGGGAAGTCAGTAAGTTGGGACGGGGAGGTCGCTCATTGACCAGTCTTCTATGCCGGGCAACACCAATAGTGCAGGGCCAAGGGGTGGAGAGGAAAGCATAAAAAAGGGCGTGGGAGGGTGTCTGGCTGCAGCAAAAGAGGGCTGTATCTTGAAGCGACTTCCAAATCCTCGTCTGCCTCCGGCAAGACAAGTCGGGCATGTCCCTCTACTGGCGTAGCTGCATGGTGGTGGTACGAGGACGTCCTCATCGCGAGAGCTTCATACAAACACGGTCGGTGGAATTCGTACATGTACTTGAACCACATGCTTCGAGGGCCCTTGCTGACCTTTTCCCCGTCCCATGTCGTCTAGCATCGAGTGGGCCGTCGGAACCTGTGGGTACTGATAAGGAATTGGAGACTGGCCGGGGTTTGTCGAAGGAGGATGACAAGGATGTCTAGGGTCGGGGGCTTCGGCTCAAGGCGAATTGAAGCCATTTCAGGGAGCCATGTCTCTTGGCAGAACCTGGCCGCTAGCGTACCGTAGACGTTTCTTCGTCCGTTGGGCTACCTACCTGCCTAGCTTTCGGACGCTACCGTAGGGATTCGTACTCTCTGGAGTCTGCCACGGCCCAGGGCGTGTATCTGGCCTAGGACTTTGAGACTCCGGACTCTGGACCTGGAGAATGTCAAGAATCGAGCAGATGAAATAGAGTGCCATGCCAAGAGATGGCTTGAGCTTTGCTGATCCCGCCCAGTGCCCACGTCTGGAGACAATCGACTCTTGACATGCCGTGTTCGCCAGCGACACATTGTGCCCATTGCCCGATTCCCAATACTGTTGGTTCGTTGTCGCACGGGGCAAATGAGAGGGATCTTTTTTCGGCCGGTTGAGCCGCAGGGCAATCCCTCCGCTTGTTGCTCTTGCTGACATTGGATGCAACATTTCGGACCAGGACAAAGTTTTTCCAGTTTTTCTTGTAGTGCAGCATCAGCGGTCGTCTGGCATGCAACCAGGCCCAGACGCGTCGGCACAGACGTCTCTGGATTCGAGACGGGCCAAGACAGCAAGAAACAGGCGATCAAGGGCATTCGAGTTGAGGATCAAAAGGAAAGACGCATGCTGTGCCTCAGCAACGCAACGGCAGATACGCACCAGCGAGGCGCGACAGTCGAGCAAACGTATCCGTACACGGTAGGTAAGCTGTATTATCTGACAATCTGTAGCCACTTCATTTCCCGCGTCGTGTTCCGCCCGTAGTTTCCGACCTTGCCTGGCCGCTGCCGTGTGGGGGCGATTTCGGTCCATGGCTGCGAAACGGGATAGATGCCCCGTCTTCAAAGACCTTTGGCAATCAGGCGCGAAGGTGCCCGTATAGATACGCTGCATGGCCGTTTGGTTTGATGAATACTGCAGTCAGGAATACTGCAGTCAGGCCAGAGAAATTGAGCAGAGGCTTAGGGCGCATCGAGAAAATCGCTCAGGCGACCAAAGGGGGATTTCGGTGGTTGATGGGAGCTGAGACCCAGTTACACAACTTCTGTGAGGAGTGTGATGGATGGGTCATGGGTGCTTTACGCAGTACGCAACAGGCAGCACCAGCCACATGTCTCGTTCCTTGGGATTGGGCAATAGTGGCTCAGACACCGATGCCATTGTAAGTTGTAACTCGTCGCAACCACACGTTGTGATAGTTGCTGCAGCGCGCCGATCGACAGAGATTAAGGTATTCCGCCGTTGGGATTTGACAGGACTAGCTCGACGCCATCTTCATAGCTGCTGCCACGGACACGATACGGCAAGGGAGTCAAATAAGGAACGGCCACGGATGATTGGTGAGCGGTGTCGCTTTCCCGCGGTGAACGTTGTTTGTCCCGATTGCATGATGTCGGAGAAGAAGAAAGGTGCAGAAGGAGGCGTCCGTCCGAAGTGCTCAGACCCAAAAGTCAAAGCGACACAGTGACAAGCCGACCTAGAGGCTACCCCGATATTGCAAGCGGGGGGGCATCGTCAGCTGCGTCTCAGAAGTCAAACTACGTTCGTTCATGTAGCCGTCCGAAGTATATTCACGAATAGATTCTTAGTCTTCAAGCTGAAGAACGTGTCGATGGCGCTAGCG